AGACTTCTGAATGAAACATGAATGCACATTTTGCTGTTTTACAAAAGCCCCATAAAAAAAGAGCTTGTAGGTCTGCAGGCTCAAAAAAAATATCTTTAGATTTGAAATGAGTGTTGTCATATATGAAGGAACATAATAAAACCCTGCGAGCCATTCGCAGAGTCAGGAAAGTTCAGCCGTTAACCAAGTTAACATAAAAATTGCTCGAAAACACAGGAATAGTAATTTGGGGATAAGAAAGGAGGTAGAAATCATGTTATAAGTGCAAGTGATCTGGAAATAGCTGTTTGTCTTGGACATTTGCAGGGAAGTGACATCATGCCGAGTGTCCATGGGGATATTAGTCCTGCATTTTTCAGTCCAGATTCTGGCACTAAAGTTGGCAAAATTAGACCATTTTGTTGAAGTGATCTTCGAGCCGCCCACCTCCAGCACACATTACAGCACACCTATGACATGACCCAAGAACAATGGGTGAAAAATGGGCTATAAAAACATGAATGGCCTGCTTCATATAAAGCAGATTTTATAGTGCAGGTGTGCCTTCATTTATCGATACTGTAAAGCAGTGAGATCATACTGGCAGTAAAACACAACATTTGTAAAACAACAACCATGAAAAAAAAAAAGAAGAAATTCTATTAATTAAAAAATGTAATGGCACAGATAAAAACTCAACGGGGTGTTTTAGAATTACATTTGATATTTTGTCATCAGATGCTTTACATCAGCTTGCAGAGAATTCAGCCGGCTCGGAGAAGGATATCTGGAAAGGAGAAAAAAAAATACTTAATTGAACTGTAAAACTATATCCCACATTTAGGAAAAACCAGGCATGTAAAAATATCTATTTAATAAGTGCCGTTTAAGTTGTTAAAGCTGTTGGAGGGTTTTTTTCTTTCCTTCACCCATTAGGATATGAATGGGAAAAATTATGAATAGGAAATCCTGCTGGAGTTTTTATTGCCTATTTCCTTTCGGGAAGATGGCATTGTTCCTCTTTTAAAAAAGGGAAGGGGCGTAAAATAAGCCCAGGCATATGACAGACATCCTTCAAAGCTGGGATGGCAGGAGTGTGTTGTTCTGTATTTTTGTTACTCACAAGGCAAAGGCTGTTCTATTTTTAAGCAGGGCTGTGCTGCTGTGGACTTTTCCCTTCCCTTGAAAGGGGTTTTGGCATAATGTTGTTTTGATTAAAGCAGATTTCTGTTCTATTCTATTTAGTTTCTTATATTTTTTTCCCAGCACAATGCAGGAGCAAGGGATTTTTGGGGTTGTTTATTTTATTGTTGTTGTTGAGTTTTTCTTTTTTATTATTGTTAAATCTCATTCCAGGATAGAGAATAAAATTTTTCTCCCCACATCAACAACTCCAAAAATCCTTACCTGTGCAGTAGGTTTTTGCTCTGCCCACCTGTTGAGCAGCACTTTCAGGGGGTTTTAAGATCTGCACTCTCTTGGTTATTTTTTGGGGACAGGATAAAAAAAATAAATTAAAGATCTGACAAATTTCCTGGACAAAGGTCTCACCCTCCAAAGCCTTCATTGATTTAATCACCCTAAGCTGAGTAAGGGGAGGGAAGGGATCTGCCTCCTTTCACCCCACACAGTGATGACCCCAAAACATATTTGGGAGTTTTGCTGGAGCACCCAAAAAGTGGGGGAACCCCCTTGGCCACAGCCTGGGGGATCCTGATTCACCACAGGACCCTCACCTGGGGGTTGTCCTCACCCTCTGCCTTCACCCCCCCCTTAGAATCTCCCCCTCCCCAACTGCCACCATTCAGCTTGTGTCATCATGTTCAGCACAGATGTTTCAGCAGCTGTACATGGTGAGCAGGTTTGAAAAGATTTTTTTCCCCTAAGATATTTTTTCCGTGATATTTTTTCCCAAGATTTTTTCCCCTAATATCTCTTTTTCCTAGGATTTTTTTTCCTTATATTTTTACTTGAGATTTTATTTCTAATATTTTTTCTTATAGCTTTTTTTTCTTGTCTAACACATCTCGTGGCTTGATAACAATTGCCAATCACTGCCACGAGACCTACACCATAGACACAGCTTCCTATACTCCCCATCTGTCCATAAATTCATTGATTTTCCCTATTTTTTGATTTTGCTGTGCCTGGGCACTGGATTTGTTGTGTTCCTGACTCAGTGGCTGGAGCATTAATTTTTTTATTTAGTTTTGGAGAGCTCCCTCCCACCAAACACCATAACTATTTCCCAAATGTAGTAAAGTCATGGAGATTCCTGGAATAATGTCTCCATCAACCTGCTGAAGTTGAGCAGCTGAACAACGTCCTGGTTGCTCTATTTGACTTTCTTCAGAAGTTACATTAGTGATTGGACTCTTAACCAAAAAAAACCCCAAAACATAAAAAGAAATGAAATCCCATGAAGCCCACAAGATGCTGATATTCCCAACCTCAGGCACTGGTTGTCCTTTGGGATGGCTGAAGGCTCTGGCACAAGAGCTCTTAGATAAATAATCTGTACAGTGACTGTTTTGTTTAATTATTTTTTTAATGTCATTTTTCTTGTGTCACAATACACAATACTCTTCCTCTTCCAGTGATTAAATGTAAGGGATTTATCCTGAAGATTCCCAGGAAGGATCCTATTTATACAAGCAGGGACATTTCAGGGGCTGTGCCATGACTTATTGCTGAGCCTGGCTGCCAGTTCTTAAGTATCTTGTTTTTCTTTTTTGTTCTTTATGTACGAGCTAGTTCTTATTTATCTTTAGTAATTCAATAAGTGGGGGAGGAAGTGGAGTGACTTTGGATGCTAACTGGCCCCACCGCTTAGTTTTTGGATACTGGTAACAAGTGCTTGCAACCCTGTGGGTGCCAGCAGGGATGGCAGAGCTGCCTGGCTCCCTCTAGCACTTGGCCAAGCTCCACCAGCTGTCCTGCTGTCCCAGAACTTTCCCAGTTTCCCTGATTTACTGGAAGGTCATTCAGGTTTCTTTGATGACTCGGAATTCAGAGTTCCCACACATCTGAACTCCTCTCTGGCTCACAAGGGGAAGCCAAAAAGGGGTTTTGCTTTGTGTTTGTGTTCTCCCATCCCAAGCCAGAGACGGCCAGGGCTCATGTCATGTGGGCAGCTCTGCACAGTCCAAAAACAGCACCCAAGGGAGCTTCCACTGCTTCAGTGCCCTGGCATTCCTGGCTCCTCTGTCCTCCGAGGAAGGAGTTGGAGAAGGGGTGGTGGCATCACCTCCACATCAGCTGGAGCTTCCCTTTCTCACCATGAATTTGTGGCTACTTGAGGGGGCTGTGTGGGCTTCCTGTGGCAGATGTGACAGGCAAGCTCTGCCCTTGGACACCTTTAGGTCCTTCACTAAGCACAGGAATGGGAATGTGATTTTTTTGTTTGAAAAATCAATGGAATAAAGCCAAGCCTGGCTTCTTGGGTTCAGCACACAGCCTGTGCACCTTTATCTTTGGAAAACTTTGGGGATTATTTCTGTTTCAGTATTAAACACGGTATTTTTTCCCAGCCATCAATACCACCATGCAGACAAGTCTCCATGAGTTCAGGAGAGCACAGCTCGGAATCCACTACTGCTTCTCCTGCTCCTCTCCCGTCCACCTGCAGGAGAAGGGGGTTTGCTCTGTACAACCATCCCTCCTGCTGTGCTCCCTGGGATCTGCAGCACTCCCAGGCATTTCCAAGGGGTGAATCAATACTGAAGTTCATTCACCAGCACTGCCAGTTCAAGATTATTTTTTTACATGGTTGTTAAATTCACTTAAAAGTAAAACAGCAAGAGCTTTCTTGGTTCTGGGACTAATCCATCCCTTTCCTCCTCCTTCCTCCACTCTCCCTGACACCAAATGATTCTGTAGCACTCAGTTCAATTTTAGATTTCATTGGGAATCCAAAATAAGGAAAATTTTCCATGTGCTCCAAAGAGTTGATCACAAAAATATTGCACTAAAACAAAGACAAAATAAGGGCTACAAGCAGGATTTTTAAATGTGACATGGTAAACAACCCAAAAGCTTCACTGGGACTACCGTGGGGTTTTTCCTACTATGTTCCCATGCTATTAAAACCCAAAAAGATGTGCTGGGATCACTGGGTGCTGGGTGATGCAGGAGATTATAAAATCCCAGAGTGGTTTGGTTTGGAAGGGACCTTATAGACCATCTCGTTCCAACCCCTGGCATAGGCAGGGACACCTTCCACTAGAACTAGTTGCTCCTAGCCCTGTCTAACCTGGTCTTGGACACTTCCAGGAATAAACTCAGGCACCACAATCAGAGACACAAGGCATGGAGCCAGAATTAAAGAATAATTTTGGAAAACGCTTTTAAGATCACGGACTTTTTAAATCCAATCATGAACCCACATGGGTTTTGCCACCTTGCAGAGCACCCAGC